TTATGAGAAAGATTATAAAGGAAAAATATCTCAACTAATGTATCAATGGAATATTATAATCAACATGCTTACATACTCTTCCTCAAACCAACCACTTGAGAGTCTACTACTTTTTTCAACATCTTATAACAAGTTAGTTGCTCTTGATGTCTAAGTTACCAAACACTTGTATATCCTTAACATAAGAATGCCCTAAAAGTTTTCTCAAATTTTTCTTATAATATCAAAGAATCGAAAGGAAGAAATTTTTGCTTTTACTTTATCAAAGAGTTGATTTACAAATGAAAAACACATTTGGGGCTCAACTAAGGCTCAAGAGAAGATAAGATTTTTGCTTGATTTTATGACATAGATTCTCCAAAAGCTGTATGAAAGATGTAGGAATGAAATATTTATACGAGTAAAAATAAAACAGAGCCATTAGATACATTTTACAAACTAGATCTAACTCAAAAAAGTTGTTGATACATCATTTCAAAAAGTGGAGGATTTTCATGCAATGTGATCCTACATATCACATCCACTGACACATCAACCTTAAAAAGGTTGTCTATTTTAAAACCTTATATGATTCTGGACATGGTTTGAGAATACATCCTCTATCGCATCTAACATTCAAGTATACTTTTTATATGGTTTGGAATGTGATTCACCGAATCATATGTCATAACACATTGCTACTTAAGGCATTTCCTTAGGGATGAACATTTTGCACATTAGCTTGTTTAATTGGACCTGCTCAAACTCAATTCACTATAATTTTTTCATTAGAGCGGGTTCTGGTTGTGTTGGGTTAAGGTTGATCGGAAAAGATGTCATATCAGGGGTTGGTTTGGGTTTCACCTTTTAAAACCTGTCTGAACCTAGACTACTGCGTACACATATATATTTTTAATTGTTTTTACTATAAATATATTTATATTTATATTTATAAATATAATATATTATATAAATAAATATAGTTATATTTATATTGATAAATATAATTAATATATATGAATACTTTTTAATTTTTTAACTTTTTTATTAATGTAAATATAATTATATTTATAGTAATCTAATAAAATGATCGGGTCAAATTTGAGTTGAATAATCTGTAAACTTGACACAGTCTGAAAAAGAAAAGATCAAACCCATCTGGATTCGGTGAGTTCGGATTTATTCTCTATAAAGAGTGAGTCATTTATGGTTAGTAAAACCTGTCCCTGGTCCATCTAGTTGCGATCTCTATATTTCCCTGTGTACTTGAGGATATGATTTTACCAAATTACATCTGCTGACACATCAACGAAAATAATAAGAATGTTTTTCTCAAAAACTTCCATTCGCTTCGAAGTTTGTTTCATACATATTTTTTAATTAAATTTATATTTAAAGACAGATAAAATAATTTGAATTGGACCAGGAGCTTACTAAGTCAACTCGGACATGAAGCTCACTGAGTCAACTTGGCAATTCCTTACCTTCCTAGTATAGTGGCACGACAGATGGATCAAGGTCGGATCCTGCAAGTCGGACCAATGGCCAACACGCTCACGTTTGTCGCAGCTATGAGTCATATCTGGTTCGTGATAGAGTTGGTCAGCTAGTGTTTTATGTCGCGTTTACTAATGAAGTTCGCGGTCGTGAAATTTGCACAACATTACATTTGCATGATTGGAGAGAGCTGAGGTGGTGTGAACAAATGGTACGGTTTTGTTTGGATGCGTGGCTTAAGGCGACTATGACTAAGGGATCTGGCACGCAATTGTGTGATCATGTCTGAGGCTAGGGTGTTCGGCAATGGCAGCTGGGGTCTGATCAAATAGGGGGGCACACAGGGCAGCGTATAGTTGGGGTCTAGCGGCTGATCTGAACTGCTTATGGCTGTGCAGCTTGGAGGCTGGAGTTGGCTATGAAGGCACCAGTTTTTTGGACTGGTTATTGGTCTTATGGTGATTGTTAATGAAGGCTAGCCCTCTTAGGGTTTTGTCTTATTTCGGCAATGAGATCGATTAGGATTTGTGAAAAATGGTCTAGTTTTTTTTTCTCCTAAAACTCTAATATCATGTTAAGATTTTTTTTTATTGATATGTATTCTATTGTATATTACAGTCATATATATATATAGATTTTGTAGAACAAAAAAAAAAAATTAATTATAATTAATTACAAACATTGTAATTTACTATTATACCCCTTTATCTTGCTTTTGTTCCAACATTTTGATTTACTTCCTTTTTAACAATTGAGCTCTTTAACTTAATTTACTTATTTTTTAACACCATGATTTACTTCATCTTTAACAATTTATAATGTTTTTTAAGTTACCTTCTTGAAATAGAATTTAAGAAATACTAGTGCCATAAGAATAGAAAACTAAATACTAAATACAATAGTTTTATATTTAAAAGAATTATTATTTTTAATCTATTTGAAAATATATACTGATTGCATTATGTATCATTCTCTCTTCCTTGGAGAAAACTCATTAAGGAGCTTTGAGTGATGGATGATG